TCCCTTTCTCTTTGTGTGATTTTCTGTCTGCTGCTCTGTTAAGTGATCTGGATGCCCATGTTTTTCTCCTGGACTTAATATTTTCTTCCTTTTCCACAAAAGATGAGGAGTGAGGATGAGACAATTGATGGAGAGGAGATACGTGTGTGTGTGTGTGTGTGTGTGTGTGTGTGTTGTCAGTGTTTGGAGGACAGGTTCGGGGAGGTCTGGTGTGAGATCCTCCTCTCTCACTGGGAGAAATTAAGGACAGAGGAAACAGTTGGGATCCTTCTGGAAACTATCTCAAGATGGCATGGATTTGGAGGAAGGTGAATTCCTCCCAGCTTTGGGCAGGAAGGGTTTCTAAGTAGGGAAGAATTTCTACTTTTCGGAACCCCCATCCTGTCCTCTGTCTGAATGGCAATAGCTCCTAAGGCAGGAAAATACCTAGGGTTATTCCCAGCGTTCCTGAACTTCCTGAGCTAAGGTGCTGAACCTGCTCCCTCAGGAGGATTGAGGAGCTGTGGAGTGGGTCCCTGCTGCTGATTTTTACAGGCTAGAAAGAAAAAAGTCTCCCTGTGGACAGAAATAATACTTGGAGAAAGAGATCAATTGATGAATAATGTGTTTGCTGTGGTATTGAGTTGTCGGCTGTATGTATAAGAAATGAAGTTTGATACCATAGCGCTCTCAGGGTAGGTCCTGCATACTTCTTTCACTACCTGAAATTCCACCATTGGAGACCGATCCTCTAAGTCTTTAAGCTCTGCAGCCTAGGACACGTTGTGGAGAGAGTATTCAAGTACTATTTTAAAAAGTAGCGGCTCTTAGAGTTTGTCTCAGTTCCACCACTAACCATGACTAGACAAAATTCCTTAATATTCATCTGTAAAATGAAAATCGTGATATCTGTCTGATCAGCTTCAATGCAGGGATTTTATGAGAATACAGTAATACAATATATATTTTATGGGGATTAGAGTATATCTTTTAAATAATTTAAACTAAAAGAGAGACAACTGATTAATTTAGGTAAATAGTAAAGAATAGTTAATAAACCCCAATTTTAATCCCAAACCTCAAGTCTCCAAGGGCTAAGGGTTTTTCCTAAAGGCCTGTTGTCAAATTACCTGTAGATCCTAGTTCTTTACCTCTATTTCAATATTCAGCTGCTTCTTTTATGGAATTATTATGCATTAACCTAAAGGTTACTGTAATTAAAAATTGAAGCTATATACCTATATAAAATATTTGTAGAAATGGTCATGGCATTGGGGGGAGTTGAGAAGAGCAAGGATACAGGGAAATGTAAAGTAAGAGGAGATGCGAAATAAACATAAAAACAAGAGCGAGAACATTCTTTGTCCCCGTTGACTTATATTTAACAGCTTGTTGCTGCGTAAGTGCTGGTTTATTATGGTGGGAATATGGGGAGAGGAGAGGCTGAGCAGCTGGGGTTAGGAGGTGCCATGAAGACCTTTGATCACAAAGCTAAAGGGTTTTTGGTTTATTCAGAGATCCATTAAAAGCTTGAACATAGGAGATCCAAATGACCCTGTTTGTGCTGGTCACTTGGGTAATGACCCAAAGATACCGGGAAAGTAGTCTGACTGAACTGGTAAATGGCTGTGAGAACTAACAGAATGAGAGGAATTAAAAAAGATTCCTAGGTTGTTTTTTTTTTTAATGTGATTCTATTCCTCAAGTTATTAATTATTTGAGGAACAAATAATTTGACCAAATTGGTAGGAACTGGGACTGAAGTGTGGGGAGAGATGATTTCAGGTTTACACATGTTAAATTTGGTTGAATCTGTGGGATATCCAACAGGCAGTTTAATATATGAATCTAAATCCCTGGGCTAGAAATACAGATTGGATTGCCATCACATGTCACATAAAGTCACATGAGGGGTGGAGATTATTCAAGGAGTGTGCATAGTTTAAAAAAGAAACCTATATCAGAATTTGGGGGATATCAACATTTAATGAAATAGGGCCGGGTGTGGTGGCTCATGCCTGTAATCCCAGTACTTTGGGAGGCCGAGGCAGGCAGATCACCTGAGGTTAGGAGTTCAAGACCATCCTGGCCAACATGATGAAACCCCGTCTCTACAAAAAGAGAAAAATCAGCTGGGCATGATGGCAGGTCCCAGCTACTCGGGGGCCTGAGGCCGGAAAATCCCTTGAACCTGGGAGATAGAGGTTTTAGTGAGCCGAGATCGTGCCATCAAGTGAGATCAGGCCGAGAACCAGCCTGGGCAACAGAGCGAGACTACGTCTCAAAAAAAAAAAAAAAAAAAAAAAAGAAGAAGAAGAAGAAAAGAAATAGGAGACTACAAAGAATATTGAAGATAAGCCAGAAATATAGGTGGAAAGCCAAGATTCCTATCAAGGAATCCATAGGTGGAAAGCTTCATGGAGGAGGAAGTGGTTAAGTGGTCAAGACAGTGTCCATTGTATTCAGCTACGATGTCACTGGTAACCTTGGTGGGAGCATTTCCAGTGGAATGCAGAAAACACAGCCAAGACAATATGAAGAAGGGAATATAGAAAGTGTGGAATTATCATTCTGGAGGATTAGCTATGAAAGGAAAAAGAAAGTTATTATGTTACCTGGAGAAGCACACAGAGTCATTAACAGAGTTTGAGGTGATTTGGCGTATATTTATGAAGAAAAAATACTCAGAGAGTGAAATTGATTCTGCAAGAAAAGAAGAGATAATTGGCAGAATAAGATTTTTGAGAAATTCAACAGCTGTGAGATCTAGATAATAAATGCAAGGATTATACTTACACAAGAAGAGGAAAAACTGCTTCACTGAGAATAGAGGGGGAAAAGTAAGAATTTACTTAGATGTGAATAACGTTTTGTGGAAAAGCTTGGGTTGAGAAGCAGAGAGATGGAGTAGTTTCTGCAAAATAGTTACTTTCTATTTTATATCAGCGATGATATTGTATGAGAATAAGAGTGTAGGTAACAGAGGTCAGGCCTGAAAAGGATAGAAGGATCAATTTTTTAAATTACTGCTATGAGGCCAGGCACAGTGGCTCACGCCTGTAATCCCAGCACTTTGGGAGGCCGAGGTGGGTGGATCATTTGAGGTCAGGAATTTGAGATCAGACTCGCTAACATGGTGAAACCCCATCTCGACTAAAAATACAAAAAATTAGCCAGACGTAGTGGCACGCACCTGTAGTCCCAGCTACTCAGGAAGCTGAGACAGGAGAATCCCTTGAACCTGGGAGGTGGAGGTCACAGAGAGTTGAAATCATGCTCCTGCACTCCCAGGGTGAGACTCCATCTCCAAAAAAATGAAATAAAATAAAATAAAAATTACTGCTGTGAAAAGTGAGAGGCACTGTCAAGACCATCAGTTGGCTTGCAGGCCCAGTTTATTTAGGAGATTATGAGCCTCAGTGGCATCTCCCTTGAGCTAGGTGTGTCAGCACAGAGGCAGATGTTTGGATGGATAGTTTCATCCTGCAGATTCTGTTAGCAGATAGGGAACAAGGAAGATGAGAGCAATGACAAGTGAAATAATCAACACTGAGGCCTAGGTCTTTTCAGGCTAACAGCTAGGAAGAGCTCGGAGATTAAAAGGAAATGGAAAGGTAACAGTAGCCTTGATGTGATAAAATACTTTTTTAAAATAAAGTAAGACAGGCCGGGTGTAGTGGGTCACGTCTGTAATCCCAGCACTTTGGGAGGCAGAGGTGGGCAGATCACCTGAGGTCAGGAGTTCAAGACCAGCCTGACCAACATGGAGAAACCTTGTCTCTACTAAAAATACAAAATTAGCAGGACATTAGCTGGGATTACAGGACACATACCTGTAATCCCAGCTACTCGGGAGGCTGAGGCAGGAGAATCGCTTGAACCCAGGAGGCAGAGGTTGCGGTGAGTTGAGATTGTGCCATTGCACTCCAGCCTGGGCAACAAGAGCAAAACTCTGTCTCAAAATAAATAAATAAATAAATAAATAAATAAATAAATAAATAAATAAAATAAAGTAAGACAATGGGATAGTAAAAGGACATTGCTCATTTACATATGAATTTACAATTTCAAAAGTGGAACAGTTCTGAGGATGATAAATTCCAGGGGCTAGCTAACGTTTGGGGATGATGGAGATGGAATGGCAATGAAGGCATGGCAGCTGAGGGCTGTCATGGATCTGCGAGACATGTAATAATGTTAGGTTTACTGTAATCAGAGCAGAAAAACGAGAACACATCCAGTGTCTGATCTCATTTTTGTGGATGAAGAAATACAGGTCCAAATAGGTAAATAGCCCATCTGTTAGTAAGAAAATCAGGACAAGAATTCAAGCCCTTTGATTCCCAGTTCAGTACATCCTCCAATATAGAAACTATTTTAAATTTTGGGTCAGTAAATGATCTTCAGGGTTACTGGGATCCACCAAATTTCTGTGAGTTGTGTGGTGTGAACATACCAGCAAGCCTCATCCTGGGCGTCAGGATGTTTTTGCTACCAGATCCTTAAGCATGTCAGTGACGTTTAAACAGCCTAAACAGTGACTTCAGCATCATCCGCAGGGCAGTTGAAAGAGGAAGACTTAGATTCAAGCTTTGCTATTTTCTCTCTCCCTGAGCATACCTTCCTGTCTACTACATTAGGTGGATGTGAAGATCAAAGTGACATCTAAAGGATTTTGTGAGCTACTTCAGCCCCTCATCTATCTTCTGTGTGTTATTCCACAACATTTTCCCTTCACTTCTTCATGCCTGATATACTTTTCCTTGGACAATCCTCAATTCCTCTGCATGCAAAAAAGTCAAGGGCTCTACAGGTGTTGGATGTAAAGCTAGAGTTAATTAGGGACACTGATAAATGGAAACAAATAATCTTTAGATTATGTAAAGAGGATGCTGATAATCAAGGTCATCTTGCAAACAACCACATCTTGCAAACAATTTCACAATCCCAATGATTATGTATCCTCTTAGATTGGTGGGGCTTTGTGATTTGTTTTAACCCAATTATCTGTGTCTATCTAGATGGCAAGGAAGCTCAGTGTATTGGAAGTCCTTCTGATCATCTTCTGCCTAATTGTGGTGGTCATAGATATCCTCTTGCTGCTTCTTGTGTTGGAGGAACCTTCAGGTAAAGGAGATGCTTGTGGGTTGGAAGGCTGGGTAAAGGAAGTCCCCTCTAAATGCCAAAGAGATTATTTTATTCTTTTACTTTTCAATATGCCACTACATTGCGGTATTCAAAATTCACATCCCCAATTAGTTTAAGTTAAACTCCAAAAGATAAGTGTTCTTTTTCTGCACTGAAACCCTGAATGATAGTGATATTTAGGGTCTCCCAAGCCCCGTTTGGTGCAATTTTAACAAGATGCAAAATTAGGCTCACCAGATGCCTGCCCTTCAACCCAGAGTCATGAAGTCATACTGCCTTCAATGAGAAAGGACTGTTAAGGTAACAGTGCCTCCAGCCCCATTATATTATGGAAAAGGAAACGAAGGTTACAGGGAGGTTACATTAAGTTGGCTTGGTTATACCAACATACATAGCTATAGTTTCTTCATAGGTGCCTTTGAAACTGTTCTATCTATCTGTCTCTCTCGCTGTCTCTCTCAGACACCCAGAAGCATCAAACAGAATGCCTTCTCTTTCAAGCACATATTGTACTCTAAATAATAAAATGTATGTAATTCAAAAATGTATTTTCAGTAAAGCTGAATTTGGGCTTTGTTCTGCTTGACAAACTCACTTTACAGATGTGAATTGAGCCTACAGTGAAAAGAAGCTGTCCTGATAGTAGAACCCTACCTGCTCCATCTCTTTTCATCTCTCTCCACTTAAGACACTTTCTAGGGACTATTTATAACTTTGAAAGATGATCTGAAAACCATTCATATAAGCCATTTTGAGCTTATTCCTACTTCTCTCCTCTAAGACATTTTTTAGATTGCAAGTCTCATAAGATTGCTATCCAGTGTATATGAATAATTGGTTTCTTTTATTTGATATAAAACTAGATCTTCACACTTGCATTCACCCTAAACCACATTCTGATTTATGCAGAGTAGTTATGCTTTTAACTGTCTTACATACTGAACTTTTCTCTGGGGGTTTTTTTTTTTTTTCTTTTTTGAAGATATATTTCCATGGGTTGAAAGGGCGGCTTTAAAATCAATTTGTTTTTATTGTGGTAAGAACAGTGAACATAACATCTACCCTCTTACTGGATTTTTAAGTGTATAAGACAGGATTGTTATCTATTGAAACGATGTTGTACATCAGATTTCTGGAACTTATTTATCTTGCATAACTGAAATGTTATACATGGGGATTAGCAACTCTGCAATCCCTGTTTCCCCTAACTCCTGACAACCACCATTCTCTTCTTTGCCTCTATGAGTTTGACTATTTTAGATAATTTATTTAAGTGGAATCCCAGAGTATTTGTCCTTTTGTGACTGGCTTAATTCACTTTGCATAATGTATTCAAGGTTCATCCATGTTGTTGCATATTGCAGGAATCCAGTTTTAAGACAAATTTTTACTGAAATATATACATATATACACAAACAAATGTAGAGCCATAAAGATAGTGATAGTGAATATATTTGGGGGCTTTGTTTTGAATCAAAACAAAAGCATTAAAGGACACCTGCTAATGCCCACAGTAATTGTTTCCTCCAAATTCTGATGAAATTCTAGATTTCAGACGGTTCATGGAGTCCATGAGCCAGTCCTACTTCTGCTGTTGTTATGGGGAGAAGATTCCGCAAAGTTGATAAAGGCTAAAGTAAGAATAGCTAATGTTGAGTGAAGGTGTTTGATTCCAATGAGGCCAATAATATCTTTCTGATATGTAGCCTGAGTCATCTGGTGTCTTTAAGCAGCTGTGCCTGTATATAAGAGACTAAAGAAAAAACAGTAAGAAAAAAGACTTTCCCAGCTATTTAATCAGGTCTTCCCTGGTAACAACAACAACAAAAAATAATGTTGGATCCCTACCTGACAGCATATATAAACATTAACTCAAAATTTATCAAAAACCTAAATATAAGGGCCAAAACTATAAAACTCTAAGAAAGCATAAATAAAAATGTCTGTGACCTTGGATTAGACAACAGCTTCTTAGACGATACCCAAAGCACAGCAACCAAAGAAAAAAATAGGTGAATTGGACTTCATCAAAATTGAAAAAAACTTTGTGCTTTGAAGCACACTTTGAAGAAAACTGTCAAGAATGTGAACAACAATCCACAGATTCAGGGAACATATCTGCAGATGACATATCTGATGTTAGGCCCTTATCAGATACATCATATGCAAATATATTTCTTTATACATTCTAAAATAATACATTGGAATATAAGATAATATATTCTCTTAGGATGTATAAAGAAATACTACAAATCCAAATTTTTTTAAAAAAAGGTTTCTAAATGAGTAAAACATTTAAATAGACATTTATGCCAAGGAAATCTATAAATGGCCACTAAACCCATGGAAGTATATTCAACATCATCGGTTATTTGGGAAGCGCAAGTCAAAACAATAACATATCGCTTTCACACCCACTAGGATGACTATAATTAAAAACAGATAAAAACAAGTGTTGCTGAGGTTACAGAGAAACTGGAATTGTTCTACATGGCTAATGGGAATGCAAAATGGTGTGGTTACTTTGGAAAACTTTGTCAGTTCCTCGGAAAGCTAAAGATAGAGTTAACCACATGACCTAACAATTCCACTTCTAGATATATAACCAAGAGACCTGAAAACATAGTTCACAGAAAAACTTTTGAATGCTCACGGCAGAATTGTGTATAATGCTCAAAAAGTAGAAACAACCCAAATGTACATGAACCGATGGATAGATAAACAAAATGTGGTATATCCACACACACAAAATGTGATTCAGCCATTAAAAGCAATGAAGCACTGATACATACTACAACATGGATTAACCTGCAAAACCGCAGGCCAAGTGAAAGGAGCCAGGCACAAAAGGCCACAAATTTTAGAATCTTTTTATAGGAAATGTTCAGAATAGGCCAATCCATAGTGATAGAAAATAGATGAGTGTTTACCAGGGACTGGGAGGAACTGGGAGAACACGGGAATAGAAAATAACTGCTAATGTGTATGTCATTTCTTTTGGGGGTGATGAAATTGTTCTGGAATTCAATAGTGGTCATAGATTGTACAACTCCATAACTAAAAAGCATTGACATACACTTTAAGAGGATGAATTTTGTGGTATATAAATTGTATCTGTATAAAAAGCAAACAAAGTAGAAATAAACGTGTTTAACCTTGGAGAAGTGTTAAACATCATATGCAAATATAGATACCAGCTTGGAGAAGTGTTAAACATTGTATGCAAATGTAGATACCAGCTACTGGTGATCTGTTGTGTGGAGAATTGACTGAAAGTCTGTAACTTTGCTGGCTTCCTTCCTGGAGCTGTGATTACACTACACATTTTCAACTTTATCCTTTAATTCCTATGCAGATACTTCATTTACTCCAGAGTGCCCGGATATTCCCCACTCGGAAAGGATAGACTGCATACCTGACCAGGAGGTGACCGAGGTCAGAGAAATAAGATCGCTTTTGGTGGCCTACGGGGTGTTATTGAAAAGAGATGAATATGTGAAGTGGGGAAAGGGCGGGGGTGGCATGGCTTCTGGGCCTCTGATTTGTTTGGAGTTCTTTCTTTCTTACCTTATTAAAATAACAATATTAAGATCATGAGGGAAGCAGTGTTGAGAAAAAGGAAGAGTAGGAAAAGCTAACAAGAATGTTAACCTGTGGATTATAAAGTCCAAAGTGGAGGGAGATTATAGGTGCTACTAAAGGTACCTTACGTGTGATTCCAAGGATTGTGGTAGAAAGGTTAAAAGTCTGTGGGCTACACTAAGTATTCTTTGAGAATAGAGGCCATTAAGCACATGCAAATAGAGAAATCCATAGTGATAGAAAATAGATTAGCATTTACCTGAGTCACTGGCTGAGTCACTTACAGAACACAGGCAACTTGCTACAACAAGCGCCCTCTGAAATTATGTTACTGGCAATAGAGGTCCCAGTGAATATGTACTAAAGAACACAGGTTTTCTCCCTGAGTAGCTTCCATAAAATATCAGCTACTTGAACGCTGATTAGTTGTGGCTTGGGACTTTTTCATAAAGGTTGTATGTATTTATTTATTTAAATTTTATTTATTTGCCCCATATTCTAAATTAAATATCTTCTTGAGATATTAATTAGGACAGTATTGAATTTCAGTTAAATTTTAAACAATATTGACATTTTGATAGATTTGAATCTTCTTGTTATAAAAACTTAGAAAGTATCTCCATTTCAGTTCTTTTCATACATACATATAATTCTTTCTTTTCTTTTTTTTGAGACAGAGTCTCACTTTGTCACCAGGCTAGAGTGCAGTGGCACGGATCTTGGCTCACTGCAACCTCTGCCTCCCAGGTTCAAGCAATTCTTGTGCCTCAGCCTCCTGAGTAGCTGGGATTACAGGTGCCTACCACCACGCCCAGCTAATTTTTGTATTTTTAGTAGAAACGGGGTTTCGTTGGCCAGGCTGGCCTCGAACTCCTGACCACAGGTGATTCACCGCCTCGGCCACCCAAAATGCTGAGCTTACAGGTGTGAGCCACCGCGCCCGACCCATGTGTACATATATTTCTTAACTGAGTTTTGTGTTTCTCTTATATGTTTTGTTGCATATGAATTATGATGTTTTCCCTAGGTATTTCACATCCTTGGTTTCTATTGTAAATATAATCCATTATATTTTGTAAGTTGTGCTTCTTTTATTATAATGCTTCTTTTCTTGCTATTACTTTATATTTATTATTTTTACTTTATATTATGTTTATACAGTATATTTATTTCTATTTATTATATAAATGATCAAGTTAAATCTCCTATTGTTTATAAAAAATGTTTCTGTAGTCCCTTCTCTGGATATTAAGTACAGAATTACATTATACTAAAATAAGGATAATTTTTCTTTGTATTAATATTATCTTATACATTCATATGTCTAATTGTATTGTCTATTTCTTGCAGAATAATATAATTAAAGTGATGATGGTTGGCAACCCTTATTTTGTGCTTGACTTTAATGGAAATTCGTGGTCAAAGTATCAAGCACAAAGTTAGCTACTGGCTTAAGAGAATTGTTTTATTGATATATATTAGCAACCACCTTTATATTCTTACTTTAACTTTTTTAAAAAAGAAATGGAAAATGGATTTTTTCCAACAATTTTGTATTGAACTTTTCAAACATATGGAAAGACTGAAATAAGTTTACAATAATACCCATTACCTACCACTTAAATTTCACCATTAGTATTTTACTTTGCTTTCTCATGTTTATCACTTATCCCACACTTCATTCATCTGTTAAACTATCTGATTTCTATGCATTTGAAAGTAAGTTCTAGAAACCAGTTCACTTTTTCATAAATTTCTCACCATGTATATTATTAGCTACAGTCCAAAGTTTGATTATAGTTATTTATCTTCAGATATTACACTTATATACAACGCACATACAAAGAGTTGTTATTAATACATTTTGCACAATTCTTTGGTGCACATTTGTTGAATTATGGCAAATGTCTATACATGTGTAAACTAAACCATTCTATACCCAAAGGTACAGAATATTACCATCATTACAGAAAGTTACCTTACGACATTTCCCAATAGTTATTCCGACTTGTACCCCTTAACAGGTAATCACTGATGATTTATCTCCACCTTAGTTTAGTTTTGCTTGTTGCAGAACTTCATATGAATGGAATCATACAGTGTAGTGTAAAGCCTCTTTCATTCAGCATATTTTTGAGATTCATCTTTATTGTTGCAAATATTAGATAATTCCTTGTATCATTGAGTGATATTCCATTATATGAGTATGCCATAGTTTAACCATTCTTCTCTTGGCATATAGTAGGATGGTGTCCACTTCATCCATATTTTCAAATTTGTAAACTTCAAGTTCTATTAAATACGTCTTTTTTTTTTTGGACGGAATCTCGCTCAGTCGCCAGACTGGAGTGCACTGGTGCGATCTTGGCTCACTGCAACCTCTACCTCCCCGGTTCAAGCGATTCTCCTGCCTCAGCCTTCTGAGTAGCTGGGACTACAGGCATGCACCACCATGCCCAACTAATTTTTGTATTTTTAGTAGAGATAGGGTTTCACCTTATTGGCCAGAATGGTCTCTTGACCTTGTGATCCACCCCCTTTGGCCTCCCAAAATGCTAGAATTACAGGGGTGAGCCACTGTGCCCGACCTCAAAATTAAAATTAATTTTATGAGATTTAGCCTATTAGGGGTGTGTGTGTGTATGTGTGTGTGTGTGTGTGTGTGTATATATATATATTTATTTTTTTTTTTTTCTGTATCCACCCTATTCTTGATAGTCATTTGTGAGTTTTCATCTAGAGTTTTTTTTGAGTCATGCTGCTTTGAACAGCACGACTCAAAAAAATTTACATCAAATTTTTGGGTGTCTTTGGGTGAACAGTTGGAAGAATTTTTATTGGCTCTATACCTAAGGATGGAACCTCCAGTCTATAGGATATGTACATGTTAAACTTTAACTGACACTGCAACATCATGTTTCAAAGTATTTGTATCAATTTGCATTTCTTTTAGTAGTATATAGGAGTTCATTTGCTCTACATCCTAATCAACGCTTGGTGTTTTCTCCTTTTTCAATTTAACCATTCTATGGTTTTAATTTTCATGTTTCTCTTGACTAATAAGGTTAAATATCTTTAGAAATGCTTATTGGCTAGTTGGTAATCATATTTATGAAATGTATTTTTAATTTTTTGCCTTTTTTTTCTACTAAACTGTTCATCTTTTTTCTTGCTTTGTAGTAGTTATTTATGTATTCTGGATACAAATCCTTTGTTAGACATATATCTTAGTCTATTATTTGTCTTTTAACTCTCTTAATGGCCACTGTTGATGATAAATAGTTCATAATTTTAAAATAGTTCACTTTATCACTTTTTCAGTGGTTGATTCATTTCATATTCTATTTAGTAATTCTTGCCTACTCCCAGGTCAGAAAAATATATTACTATCTTTCCCTTAAAAGCATTATTGTTTTATCTTTCAAATTTAGATCTTTTATGAATATAGTACTGATTTTTGTATATGGTATCGGTAAAGAGTTCAGACACTTTTGTTTTTGTGTGTGAGATGGAGTCTTGCTGTCTACAGGCTGGAGTGCAGTGGCGCGATCTCGGCTCACTGCAACCTCCACTCCCAGGTTCAAGCGATTCTCCCACCTCAGCTTCCTGAGTAGCTGGGATTACAAGCACCTGTCATCATGTCCAGCTAATTTTTTTGTATTTTTAGTAGAGATGGGGGTTTCACCATTTTGGTAAGGCTGATCTCGAACTCCTGACCTTGTGATTCGCTCACCTCAGCCTCCCAAAGTGCTGCGAGCCACTGCACCTGGCCCAGAAACATTTTTTTTCTTGAATTTTTAATCGATCCGTCACCACTTATTGAACTGACGATCTTTTTCCCTCTGCATTTTAGTGGCAACTTTACTGTAAATTATGTCTTTATAGGTATGGATCTGCTTCTGGAATGCATTTCGTTGAGTTATTAGTTTGTTCTTTTGCCAATACTGTACTGCCTTAATTACTATTGCTTTATGATAGGTCTTAATGTATGGTTATAGAAGTCCTCCAAATCATTCTTACTTTTCCTCAAGATTGCCTAGCTTATTCTTTGCCCTTTAGGTTTCTGAATACATTTTAATTTTAGTGTCTCTCATACCAGCCTGCCAGTTTTCTCACAAAACTTACTAGAAATTGTATTGTGATTGCATAAAATTTACAGGTTAAATTTGGGAAAATTACCATCTTTACAAGGGTGAATATTTCAATTCCTAAACATGGTATTTATCTTTCTATGCACTGAGATTTTAGTTTCGAAATTTTTGATAGAGAGCTTTTGCACATGTTTTTGCTACTTTTTTTCTATTTGATTCTATTCAAGTCTTATTCTTAAATTTTAATTTTCTGTTTCTCTGTTGTTGATATATAGATTTAAAACTGATTTTTGAATACCGATCTTGTAACCAGAAATCTTAAATTTACCTATTAATTGTCCTAGTTTGTAGACGTTTGCTTTTTCTGATATGATAATGTTACCTGCAAATAATAACAGTTGGAAGTTTTTTCCAATGTGCATTCCATTTTCTTCCATGTCTTTTAACTCATAGGTTACAAGATTCTCTTTTCTTTCTAAATTGTCGATATAGTTTGAGACAGTTTATCCGAAAGGCAACATGCAGCTATAGTAGGTTTTAGAAAATGGAACTTCCTGGAGACTGATTTTAACTAAACCTAATAAATAACATTGCAATAAAATACTAATTATAGAAATGGAATTTCCTGGTTTTGGAAGAAGTTGGTTACATATCATTTACAGATTTTAAGCATCTATCAGAGACTCTATTGAAGAAATCCCTGCATCAAATGGAAGTTGTACTAGACAATTTCCAAGTTAATTGTTAATTTTTAAATTATAT